GCCCCGCACGCCGCGTTCAAGGCAAGTCGCCCCTCCCTCCCTCCCTTTCTCCCTCCCTTCCTCCCTTCCTCCTTCTGTGCCCGATTCGATGCTTCCTCTCAGTCTTTTTTACGTGTCATTTCCTGGTCTCTTTTCCATTTCTCCTCAGTCCTTCTCGACCTTAATGGTGCTGCTTACTTACATGTTCCGCATCTTTCCCTCCCTCTCTCCCTTCCTCCTTCCCTCTCTCCCTCGCCCCTTTCCTCTTCCCCTCCTCCCTTCCAGGACAACCGCGTCACGGTGGTGCTCCGTTTCATCAACCGATCTTCCTACCTCGCACTCTGCAAGGACGTCACACGCCGCCAGCAGCGTGTGAAACGAAGGCGCGAGGGAGTGCGGGAAGGAGGGCATGAGGGAGGGCGGGAAGGAGGGCGGGAAGGAGGGCGAGAGGCTGGGACGAAGAAGGCGAAGGAATGAGACGATGTGAAAGGAAAGCGTCGAGCTGACATGGCGGGGGAGCATGTGAGGCAATTTCTGTGGCCTTACCCAGCTTTGGTGGGGCTGAAAAAGAGCTATGGCGTGGTTTTGTATCTATCGAAAGGCCCGGCTGGCAGGATGAATGCATCCGAAGGGGGGGGTTCGGGACGACCGCAAGCTTTTAATGAACGTGCTGAAGCCCGTGGATAGTGCCAAGGGATGCGAACAACGAAAGTATTGTAATGGCAAATAATGGTGTCCCAAAACAAGTCACTGGGCGAGGAGTCTCGGCGTGTCGACCGACTTGAACGGTGCGACAGGGCAAAGAAAGAAGTAATTTAAGCTGTTTGTTTAAATGTGGTCATTCTGCACCTCGGCACGTCAAGCATCCATGCTTGACACACTGCCGTGCTTCCACCTCTCACCGGCTATCCTCCCTCCGTTTCTCAGACTGCAAGATCTGATTCCCTGCGAGAGAACACTCAGTCCACGCGAGTCGATGGCGCTTACGAGGACATGTCTTAAAACTCACTCAACACTTTGATGTCGTAAGTCTGCAAACTTCGTTGGTGGAAAGCCGGAAAGAAAGGGAACAAGTAAGAAACAGCGAGAGGAACGCCGGCCACGGCGTGTGTGTGGGTATGTATGTAGGCATTACTGATGTCAAGAGCCTGCCGTTTAGCGTCGTTTTTATCGGTCACGTGCTGACAAGACCATCTCAAACTCACATCTTAGACCGCAATCCTATTGCTATTCTAGCTGCGAAAGTATTCTAGCTGCGAAAACCTACCCTTCCCTCGTTTCACTTCATTTCGTCTATCACGCTCCCATCCATTCCCCTTGCACCACCCGCCCGCCTGCTCCTTTCCTCTCCTGGCCCGTCGAGCCACAACAGCGATCATCCGTCCCGTCTCCCCCGCCTCAAACAGGTTCAACCAGGCGCAAAAAACCGACCCGGATGTCATCCGACAGTTGCCTCGGGCGCCCGACCGTAGCACGTCTCCCTCCCTCATCTTTCCTTACTCCCCCCTGCATGAGATTGGCCGTCATTTCCCCAGCGCACATAAGCACTGGTTGACCGTGGCTCGCTGATCTCTTTCCTGGGAGGCAGCGCCATGATCCAGGAGATGGGCTTGGCGCGGGGGTATTTTTATATTCCGATCCTCCTCACCGTGCAGTCTTTTTCTACGGAGTTTAGACGCTCTACGGCGAATTGTCGTGACTACGCATTCCTCCTTTCTCTTCCCTAGTACCCACCAAAGTTCTCTAGCTAGCTCTATCAAAGCAAGGACGCAGGGCGGAGTCGATCCGGGTTCATCTATGATTCCTACCTAAAACTATTCGATCCACGTCACGCACGAAGACCCTCTGACACCCTACTTCATATCATTTCAAATCACTCTCAATTCAATGCATTCGATCCCGCTCCCTCTCAGTCCGGTTCGACGCGACGAAGCCCGTCTTCGTCGCAGACCAAAAATGTAATCTATACCTGTTGCACACATCTTTGACTTCTAATCGCGTCACAGTCTCCCTATATCTCTTCGCCCCGTCGTTTTCCCCATGACCTCCCCTCTTATTCTTGGTACACTACCATGCAAAATTACGGGCCCGCCCCTGACCACGCACATCGGTCTTGTCCCTCTTCTAGAATGTCGATATCTAAAACTACGATTTTAAAAATGGCATGTACTTCGTCTCCTTCTGTTTAGAACCCGCGCCGGGCGTTTGAGCCCACAGGACCCGGTTGCAGCCCTCCCTGGGGCACACGGCCACGAAGCACGGGTGTCAGAGAGCCAGCAACCGGCGACAGGGCTGCGGTCAACTTGTCCCACACGCACTCCCTGGTCCCCTCAGGCCAAAGGTCCCACCCGCCCCCGCCACCACCGGTGCATGCCGGCTTTTTTCGGTCATTTTCCGCCCCCTGGCCCGCCCCGACCGGTCCTTTTTTCCCTCCATTCAAAAAAAACGCCTACACTTGCGTTTTTGGCCGTTTCCGCCAGCTTCAGGCTTGCCTGGAGCGGGCGCCCCGGAGAAGCTTCCTCGACCCCAGGTCTCATGAATCTAGTTTTCTATGTGTTACCGATACGTACTGTCTTGCTATTGCTACTGCTGGACTCCTTCGCTAAGCGGGCTGTATAATCGATGGTTATGTCTAGATTATCGCTATTTCCTCCTCTACTTAAGGCAGACTCTGCGGGGGCACTAGGGGGCTGCATAGTCCGCTCCCCCTCCTCTTCTCCCGGCCACCGATCTGTTACACTCAGAGCCTGCCGTCGGTCCTTCCTTTCCACAAAACTCCGCCTTTTCCAGCCCTTTCGAACGGGCACTACCTTTTCCTCGCTCTTCCTCCTTCCCTAT